CGCCATGCTATCCGCAGACGAAAATATCGGAAAATGATTTCGTGAGAAATCGACGGTTTCTCATACTAAGATGATGAAAAATTAATTATTTAATATGAAAAGAGAGAGAGACAGAGATTTAATGTTTCGTATTATCATCTAATATTCATTTCTAGACCTTTGCCTTTGAGATATGAAAATAAAAAGACAACAGTGAGTATAGTGAGAAATTTCTTATCTAAAGTTGTGCGAAAGCTTAAAAGAGAATTTTGAGAAACTAATAAGAAATTACTCATTATACTATTGTTTTAATTTTAAAACGTAGATTATTCATAAAATATACTAGCATTGCATAAAATGCATTTTGCAAAAGAACACAAACTAAATATTTATAATATTCTTAAGATAATCGACAATTTTTACAAAATAACGTGAATTCGCACGAACGATGGTCAAACAGGTTTTTTGGAGACGCTTTTTTCGTGTCGGCGTGTTGAGAACCCGATCGCCGATTCGTCGCACTTACGAAAAGAACGGGGTTGCCGCTCGCGCATATTTATCACCGTCGTTAATAACGCACGAAAAAAAGCCTTATCGCCTACCGCAACGAATTTTTCGATGGTTGCCCGTCCAATGGTTTGATGGTCACCGAAAATTAACTTGGTCGCAAAATATAAAAGCAGCCACAAGTAAAACCTTTGAATTTTTTCGCGAGTTAACAATAGCTAATTTTATCATCGCAAATTTTAATTGTAATTTATAATTAAAAAATTATATAGTTGTGCATTTTTGCAGAAAACAAATTTTTTAATTTATGCAAATAAGAAAATAAAGACATCCAAGCAATATTTATGTCTCTTTTCAATAAGAATATCTTATATTAATTCGTTATTAATTATTCTTTTCCTACAATATATCCTATCAATTTTTATTAAAACGTAATTGTTTACGAAGGTAGATCAGACCTTTTTCCTCCATTTCGCGAGGAAGAGAAGAGCATAGTAAAGGGAGGCGGAAGAAAAGGAGGAAGAAGAAGAGGAAGACAAGGGTGAACGCACTCGCCACACCCTGCCTTAAAGATTGTAAACGATTATTAATGCTCCACTGCGGCTGACCCGTAACCCGGCGGTGAGTCTTCTCGTGACGTCCCACTCCCTCTCGCCCCAATCCTGTCCTTCTCCCCAACCCTCCTCCATCCTCCCTCGAAATAATCTCGACTGAAATACCCAAGCGAGATCGCGCGGATTGCCTCTCGACGGAATCGATCCTTATCCGGCTTTTTTCTTAATTAGCCCGTCGGATTCTCTCTCTCTCTCTTTCTCTCTCTCTCTCTCCGTGAGGGATAAATAACATCGGGGTTACGTCCGGTCACGTTAACTAATTTGCGTAACACGCCGCAGGCTCTCATCGAAATCTTCGCGCCGGCGAATCATCTACCTATTGCGAACGAGATAAATTATCGAGACGGAAAATGAAAGCGGGACTCATCATGAAAAATAGCAAGATATAAATACAAAAAATAAATTCTATAAAAGGTAGTAGCTGGTATTAGCTACTTTGAATTAGAGCATAATGAGATACGACGTCTTGCGCACTTCAATTTTGTATTTAATTTTATTCGTGTTCTAAAATTTAAAGGTTAAGAATTCTTTTAATATTATAAAAATAACTTTTGTGTGTAACGATATGCAATATATATAATTGTCTGCTAACATAAAATTTGTAAATATTTTAATTATCAAAAATCAACCTTTTTTAGGTGTCAAGTGCGAAAATAAATTGTGGAAAAAGTTCCTAATTGACATCCTTAGATAAAAATCTCTTATGTAACCTTCCAAATACCACGGGACAAATGCGGAAGTGCGCGTTTTGCGCCAGCCCGATGTAAACCGATAACGCAACATAAAGATAACGCAGTGTCGCACGTGACATGAGT